TTTTATCATTTTGAGCTGCTTAAGTCATACTGACATCAGTAGTGGAGCTGCTTAAGATTTAGTCAAATTTGTGTAAAGTTGCTTATTAAAAATGTGCATGTATTTTGTTCATGTGGCAAACCAATTGGAAATATGAAATGAATAAGAAGAAATAGTCACATTTCAGTATTTAATCATTAAAACATCTTTATTGTTAATTTGATCTTTTCCTCTTAGTAGCAGATAACCAAGACTGATTGGTTTGTGGGCATTTCAATTTCTTTTTTTGAGTTACTTAAGGCACACTAATATTGTTTTGTGCAGATGTCAGAAGCAATTCATGAGAACACTTAGCATAATTCTCAAGTCTGTTGGATTACCTCCACTTAGCTTGCCAAGACACCACTTGGTGGTGTTGTGCAGGAACAATAAAAACTCGACACTTCCTATTTCTTTCTTTTTTTTTTTCCTTTTTCTTTCTTCTTAGCATACTGTAGTGACAATACCAATAAAGGACTTGTCCCTGACTTGGGGATATCTTTTCCCAGATCATGAAACTCTTTCACATATACACATGTGTGTATCTTACACACATACAGACATACATAATTCCTAATAGCTATATTTTAATGTCTTCTTTCTTTTCAGCTATTTTTGCATGCATACAAGTATATTTTATGTTTTGTTAATCATTTATTAGCCATATATAAAACATGAAAATAATGCCTTGTTGAAATTTATTATATTTTTCAACAAGCATTAGCCGTCTGCCTCCCTCATTTCTTGGAATATACAGTCTAACCTGTTTGGATTCAGAGACTTATGTATATTCATCAACTTTCGTGTTATTCTATTCATCTCTTCTAATTCTGCATAATTCCAACCCAAGAATGTTGCAGAATAGCGTAGCAGAGAGATTGTCTAAGTATTAATTCCTTTGATGATATTTTCACCATATAGTTTTGGTTCAAGAACATGTCTGAAATACTCTCTTTTAACTTTTCCTTTCATTTCAGTAGGCTTCATTTGTTTGGCCTGTAAAATGCCAAAATACTTCCAGTTCTCTCCTTTCAAAGATCTTATGACTTCTCCATCTAATAATTGTATTCTCTTGGACTCAACTTTTTTCCCAGTTTGATATTTAAGGTGGCACATTTTTCAATACAAAATTCTATAACAATATCATCACCAAACACACGAACCATCTAAACCAAAGAGTTCATATTCTTTTCACTCATGACATAGTTTCAAGTTTTTCATGAACAATAAATGCCCATTCTACCAATTACTAGCAAATGCATAGCCACTTTTTGCATTCCATAGATATGTCAATAGGATCAGATACTTAACAAAATTAAAGGCAAAATGAATCCCCTTGGAAAATACCACTTTCGATGTCTATTTGTCCAAGTGACTCCTCACCACATATCAATTTTACTCTCCTTGATTACATACTGTCTTTCAATAATTACCTAATTTGATCTAAAATGCCAAGAATGTCAAGGTACTCTAGAATACAGGAATGTAACACAATATCAAGTCTGTCCATGCCATAGATAGATTTTGCTTTTGTATTTTTACCTCCCACAATATCATCTTATTGACAAATAAGAGGTCATTGGCAATCTGCACTCTTTGAGTTCTTCATTAAATAATGACTGAGCCTCCAAGTAAGCTTAAATCTCCTCTATGTTAACCACCATCAACTTCCAAACTAATGGTAAGCATGTTATTGGCCAATAGTTACTTACTAGCCTCCATTTATTATTATTAGTTTACTTATGTCATAAAAATGACATTAATATTTAAGTAATTCTATTTTACTTATAAAATATAAAAAATGTTATGTTGCTATATGCCTTCTTGTTTATATTGAATACTTCCTAAATATTAAACAAAACAAATAACATTCTATTCACCATTGAACAATTATGAGTTTGATGTCATCAAAAGAATAATTTCTATATCACTAGAATAATTTGCTTATCTCTGTGAACTCTTCTGATTATGCAGAAATGTATTACACACACACACACACAGAGGCATTCTTCCTATAATGCATACAATTTGAATTTCTAAAGTTCTAACAGATACTGTAATGAGTTAATGATTTATTCAGATATAAATCTACCTCCTCCCCAATCTCTTGTTTCTAGGAGTCTCACCCTACCAGTCACTCTTCTCTACTCATATTAAGTTTTGGATCTTAGGCAAAGCTGATTGAAATGTCTTCAAGAATGAAGAAGACAAGTTACAGAATATATAAATGTAAAAGGGCTTTCAGGACAGATAACAGATTCTTGCTTATAAAAACAACAAAATAAAATTTGTTTATTGAAGGTTGCAGTTGCCAGTTTAATAAACCCTCCCAGTTCTTCAGTGTTGTGGCCTACTTAATGTTGTATTGTGGCCAGTTAGTAAATGTTGGCATTATTCACAACATATTGCAAAAACAACAGCAATGCCCAAAACTGTTCTTAATACTTTGTTTAGATTTTGAAAGGCACCTTCCGCCATTCCAATGTACCTTCAGATTTTGCTGTCATGTTTTCTGTTAAAACACTTCCCAGATATTTAAATTTCTACACGTGTTTGATTTTGACATCTCCAATTTGTAGCCCACATCTTGAGCTGTACCTC